TTTTTTTTACTTTTTATTTGGAGTTTTGCTCTTAAGACAAATCAAGTTTTTTTTTTTTTTGTTAAACGAGAGAGGAGAACAAAATAATAATAAGTGGAAACAATGCGTTTTGGAGAGAAGAAGAGACGCGTATTTTTTTTACGGCGGCTGCCGAATTCCCTGCGAATGCGTTGTTAAATTTGATTATTCATCCAACCGGTTTAATCGGTCCGATCCTTTTTCTTCTTACTAGGATAGATAGATTATGGTCTCAAATCTAGATTATTGTTCATCTGTTTGAAACATGTACAAAATGGAGTATTTTTTCCCACTAAAACGTCGTTGGTAATTAAAGAGATTTATAACTCCTCTTTGGTTTATTTGTATGGACCATGTGAAGACCATCACAATCGGTCGAAAATAAATGATAGTGAACACATGCAGTATTTGTTTTTTTATCTTTTTAAGTATACTAATTAATGAGGCATGATATTATAGTGTTAATATATTATATTTTGAAAAATCCATGTGTTGATAAAAAAGATTCCATGTGTTCATGACTAGGTAATATTTGATACTATAGATAACAAATTGAACTTGTAACCTGTATTAAGTGATTTCTACAAATATTCGAAACCCAAAAATACCAAATTCAGTGATTCTAAAAGTGCAATGGGTAATTAAGTGATTTTACAAGGGGTTAAGACAAAAAGGCTAACTATGAGTTTTTGGTAATTAAAAAGTGCCGGAAGAGGAGTTATAGAGTTTTTGGTAATTAGATGATGGATTTTATTTTTCTTTGGTTTCTTTCTCTGCTCGATAATCAAGGTTAGAGGGAGCGTTAGAGATTAAAAAGACTTCAGTAATTAGGATTTCATTTAGACAAATCACGAACTATGACAAAATCAAAAGACATATCTAGAGAGCTAAAATTAGTTTAAGAGTGTTTTTTAAGGATTTAGTCTCTTTACATAGTCAATAAAGACGTAAAGGCTTCGAAAAACATGATGAATTGTGTTTTTTTTTTCAATGACGTTCTAACGCCCAAATCAAAATGGAGGAAAAATGAGAGAGGAAGAGAGAAAGAGATCACGGTGGATCGAAGGAGGTCAAAAAAGAGAAAAGTCAGAAAATATAAGAAAGATAGTGATTCCGGCCCGAGTAGGGATGGTCCGTGGAGAATATGATGGTTTAGTGAGGGAGAGAAGAGAGGAATCGACCTTGAAATTTCTTTGAAAATGTTTTTTAGCCAAAAAGGTATATGATCTTCTCTTTGGGATAAATAGAGGGGTATT